TCGGCGGCGGCGGCGAGGGCGAGGGACGCGCCTGAGGTGCAGGGAGGGCGTCAATACTCACAGCACTGGTGGTTCGGCCTCTAGGAGGCGGGCGGCACCCGAGCGGCTGGCGTATTTTCCGGCCAGGCCGACTCAGGGTGAAGGGCGTCGATGAGCATAAAGCCGCCCGTGGGGCCGCCCCAGGGCCGCGGCGGGTCCTGGCGACCCCTCGAGGGAGGCCAGGGTGACCAAGGCAGCAGCCACAGCCTGGGAGGAAAAGTGCGCCGCCGACGCGCACTTCTCGTGCGGGTCATTCTCGGAGTTGTCGGGGACGTGCGAAGCTACCGCCTGCGAACGGCCGGTTGGAAGACGTCATGGCGGGCATGTACGACCCTTAAGAACCCGCGTACGACCAGAAGGTCGGCTGTGAGGCGAGGCTGAAGGCAGCCCAAAAACTGCTGGATTTCTGTTGCTGACAGTTGTGGGCGATCCGAGGCGAACTGACGGCAGGCAAGCCGGCAGGTGGGAGGCGGGGATGTGCCGGGTGGATCCCCAAGCGGGCGAGCCGGGCCCGTGCATAGTTCGGGCGCGGGGGGCGCGGGAGCATGAGAAAGACGCACCGACATGCTGGGGGCTACCGGTCTCTTGATTGCCTGATTTTGACGATTCTCGTTGGACCGTCGCTCGGAGCGAAATCCCAAAAGCTCTCAGCTCAAAGGGGGAATTTATTTGTTTGGGCAGTGTTCGACCGGGCTACAACTCTCGCCCGGGAGAAAGTTGACGAGCGGAGCGAGGCAACTTTCCCGGGGCGAGCGAGGCGCGCGCGGAAAACGCTGTTTTTGCCAAAACGGTGGAGGCCGCCCCGCGCTGCCGCCCCATCAAACCCGCACCGCCTGAAGCCCTCGGGAAGGCCCTCAAAACGCCGACGCGGGAGGGCGAAAATCGCCTCGCTTCAGAGCCCGCGAGAGGACGGACCCCACGCCGCCCCACGAGCGACCCGCGCAACCCGCGACCAACAGCCGTGCGGAGCATCGGCAGGAGACGTCCGCAGCCCCAAGGATCGTCCTCGTCCGATAAAACCATCGACCACCATAACCCTCCCCGCGCGCGCTGCGAATCTTCAGGCCCTCTGCTCGACTTTGGACGACCGACTTTATTTCGGGTGCTAAAGCAGCTCGCACGGGCCCATCTCACCGTCCCCGCCCCCGCCCGCCCCCGCGCGGCAGGCCCGGCGCCGCTGGCTTCCCCCGCGCACCTCACGGGGGCGCCATGACACCGCCTGCCAGGCGGCCTGCAGACAGTGCGCACAGCAGCTGCTACATTTCTCGCTCCCGACGGCCAAGACGCCGCCCCACCGCCGAAGCTTCGAAAACCTCGCATGGACCCGTCCCACACGCTTCAACGGAAGCCCGTTTGGGCCGCCCGGGGACCCTTTTCGGCCAAGTCCGCCCCTTTTTTAGCCCCTT